GTCAGCGTAGAGGATGGTCTTTAGTGGCCCTTCTATGAGCCCCTTCACCATGACATCTAGTGTTAGGATGGAACGGACTCAGAGCTGACCCTTGATGCACCCCAACCGTGATGTTTACCTCTTTTGTTAGGCCATGTGGGGTGCGTATGGCTGCCTTAGCCCCGTCGTACATGTCCTTCACCAGCGAGACCAGGTGTTCTGGCACGTTCCGTTCTCTAGCGCTCTCCACAGTACCGCTCGTGGTAGCCGGTCGAACGCCTTCTCCAGGTCGAGGAAGGCTAGGTAGCAGGGTCGGCGCTTTTCTCGATACTTCTCCATCACTTGCCTTGCGATGAAGATGGCATCCGTTGTAGACCTTTCGGGCATGAACCCGAACTGTTCCTGGGAGATCGGGACCAGCTCCCGCAGTTTCGAGTCGACCAGCTCGTACAGCTTCATTGTATGAGCAGTCAACTTGATCCCGCGGTAGTTGGAGCAGTCCATCGCGTCACCCTTCTGCTTGAAGATGGGGACGATAGTACTTGTTCTCCAGGCATCCGGCATCCTTCCTTCCGCAGTTACGTTGTTCAGGAATCGTGTGAGCCATCTTATCCCGTACTCTCCGAGCGCCTTCCATGCCTCGATTGGCACCCCATCTGGGCCAACCGCCTTCCCAACTTCATCCTCCCAAGTGCACACCTAACCTCATCCTCAGTCCAGAGTGCGATGGGACCAGCTGTGGCCTCTGCCCGTGAGTTGTTCTCGTGGGGGAACTCCTCGTTCAGAAGTGCACTGTAGTACTCTTCCCACCTCCTCTTGACTTCGGCTGGCTTCCTTAGGATGACACCATCGCTGCCTTTCACACTTTTCACCACCCTGATGTCTTGGTAGCACGATGCCGGGCCTTAGCCAGCCTGAAGACGAACTTCTCTGCGTTTCTGCTTTCCAACTTCTCGTACAAGGCGTCCATCTTCCGTGTTCTTCGCCTTGGCGACGGCCTTAGCGAGCCTCTTGCAACTCTTGTAGGCAGCGAGGTCTTCGGGGCTCCGGGTCTTCTGCCAGCGCTTGTATGCTTCCTTCTTCTGCTTCACGACTCGCTGGACCTCCTCGTTCCAGAACCACGCTGCCTTGTCTCCTCTGAATCCACCTCGCGTCTCGCCCAGTACCTCCTTGGCACATCGCAGGATGGTCTCAGCCGCGTTGCCCCAAGTCCGCTGTACTGGCCCGTTAGGATCTGGGAGACCGACTTCCATTATCTTTCGCCTTGAGGTCATCCTTCTCCGCTTGGTGCAGCTTCCACCACCGGATTCTCCTCTCGGTTCTTACCCTTGTCTTCTTGGGGAGGTCTATGGCAATGTCTGCCAGGAGGGGCCTGTGCTGGGGAGCCAGTCTTCGCCAGGGAGTACCTTGATATCCTTCACAGTTTTGAGGGATGATCTTCTTACCAGCACATGGTCGATTTCCGTCTGTCTCCCTCCACTGCTGTAGGTTACCTTTTGAGTCTCCCTTTTCGCGAAGAACGTGCTGCAGATTGCCAGATCGTGGGCTGTAGCCAGGTCCAGACCCTCTCTCCCTCAGCGTTCCTCACTCCTATCCTCTACCTCCGTGCACCCTTTCCAGGCCTCTTCTGTCACTGCCGACGTGACCATTCAGATCACCTGCTATGGTCAGGTAATCGCCTTCCGGAATCGATCTGATGGCTTCGTCCAGGCTCAGATAGAACTCGTCCTTATCACTTTCGGGGCATCCGGCTTGCGGTGCGTACACGGAGAGTATTGACCAGTACCCCTCCTTCGTGTCTATCCTCACAGCCATGATCCGATCGCTGATCCTGTTCACAGCGGAGACATAGTCCTTGAGCGACTCCGCTACCGCTATGGCCACGCCGTTCCGCTTGGTGTCTTCTCCATTGTAGTAGAGTTTGACACCTTCCCCGATTTCCCTGGCCTTAGCACCTTTCCATCGCGTCTCCTGAAGGCATAGGACTTGGATATTCCTGCGCGTCATCAGATCAGCAACCTCTCGGGACTTCCCAGTTAGCGATCCTACGTTCAGAGTCCAATTCGAACTAGCTTCTTTGGCCGAGGCCGTTCACTCCTCGGTAGCCCTCGCATACTGACCACAGAACTCGGGCGGGGGTTCTGCGCGCCACTTCCGGGTGACGTCCTAGCTTTATCACTGATTCTTTGACGACTTTTAGACATGTTGGTGTGACTGGGGTCTTCATCAGCCGGCCTGTCAACCTGGGCCTGACGCTGGTACTAGAACCATTTTTGCAATTTTTGCAAGGCATGGTTTAGAGCCTCGGCAGGGATCGAACTCGCGGTTTTCAGAGGTGCAGACATGAGTCTAACCTCTTAACCACTCGGCTATCCCTGCCTCAGTCAGTCTATTTGAGTGTCTGTCGCGAAATCGATATAAGCTAGGAAATTACCTGGCGAGAACGATCCAAGTTTGGCATATGTGAGGAAGGGTGCCGAAGAGAAGTTTTTTTCTTTCGGTACCAGGGCATCCTATGCGATCATTGTAAAGAACGACAAATGTGTCGAAGGGTTGCGAGACCATATTTAAGAAATCCACCTGTTAGCCGAACACTCTCCAAATGGACATAATAAGAATTCATAACTCAGCTCTAGGACGACATAGAAAGCAGAAACATAACCGATGGAAGTAAGCAATGTCTATTGTGTGTCAAACGAATTTAAGTGAGCGGCGGCCTCCACAGTGGATCAAGCATTTCCCTAAGGGGCGGAGTTTTTTATCCTCATAACTCACCCCTGAAAAACATCAAAGACCGCCAAAAATTCGAATAAGGCCTATCGAATGCGGCAAGACCAAATGCCTATGGTAGAGGAGCGTGCAAATAAGTAGAGCTTATAATGAAATTTACAGTTCTCTTCCAAGACGACCCAGACCGAGAAGAGTGTGTAGAGGTAAGTGAGAGAGAACAAAAGTAGTGTCGTCGGTGGAGGAGACGTGTATCGTTAAGGAAGGGATTTTCTATTTCGATTAAAGGACACAGCATCCCATACTACCGAAATGTTTGATGAGAAGTGTTTTTTTCGGATATAATTTTTTCCTCGAACAAGTTCACACTCCTACACACCATACTGTACATCTTTCAAAAGAAAACTTCCTGCTCTATGGACTGTTTTGTGAATCTCTTCATTCACTGAGAAGTTATTGAATTCTGGACCGGCAAAATATAATCCCCAGTGTACAAAAATTTTGTTACCACTGGAAATCGAATCATTAACCAATCTTTCGTCCCCTTTTGACGTTCAAAAGTCGCTCATAGAGAATACTTTTCAGATAACTCGAATGTCTGTTTTCTTCTTTCTTTCGGTTTTCCATTCCATGCTAAATGGGAAATTGCAAAAAGTTGAATATAAATAAAACATAATTACAAGAAGGCTGAAAACTTGCATGTGCACAAAAATGGAATTGTTTTCTTCTGCACAGGCATTAATACCGGGTGGTTCAATGACGCGTGTGATATACACAAATAGCACACCCCCTCAAGCATAAAATTTGAGTGTACATTTCAGCGCTGAGTTATGCGCTTTCCTTCAAGATCTATCTTTTTCTCGAAAATATTCCACTTATTTTTGCTGTCATAATGTTAGTCCAGGAAGGATGTTCAGATTCATGAACAATGCATTAGCTCAAAATTCACATCATTTCTGGTAAAAGTCTCTGCGCGTTAAAACTTCTTACACAAAACACTTAATTTATCACTATCGATATTATAGCATGCCCTAATAGAGGTCCTCCATCCGTTTCGATGTAACTATTATCGGCAAGGAAGGGTCACAAGACAGCGCAATTACACATTGCAGCCCGCGTGCATCGCCGGGTATGCACGTCGAAACTCCCACATCTGACATTTGTGCATCGCCGGGTATGCACATCGGTTTTAAGCTCCTCCTCAATCTTTTTTCATTACTTGTAGTTATAGAAGTTCCACTAGTGCCTTGAATCCACTAAACACATGGCTGCTCTCCATCTTCAAATTCAATAGACTTGGTGGTTCAACTTGCACAACCAGTGCCTCAGTTTGAACCCTCAAAAAGTTTTAACAATAAACTCCAATGACTACTAATTACTACATACATTTTCTGATGAGAGGCCGAGCAAAAAACTAGCAAAAAGCAAAAAAAAACGAGGAAAAGTAGAACAAAGAAAGGACAAAAGCAATACGTTGCCAGCGCAATGGGGAGGTTGCAGTTGAGATTGTGTGGGTCCTGTGGCGAAATACATGGGTCTTGTAGCGAGATATATGGGTCCTGTAGAGAAATTCCACAAAATGTCCCGAATGTGAGATTTGTGCATCGCCGGGTATGCACGCAGGTAATGCAGCTATGTCACATGTGTGACATGCGCCGAAATGAATGCGGGCGCCAATATCTTAACACGTTGACGACAGCGTGACGCATTGTGACGCGGTTACGCGTCTCGCCCAAGGCATCCCTTTTTCTTGCGCTTGCGCGACTTATTCCTATGGTCTTTGCACTCATTATACAGGGGGGGGGGCAATAAAAAAAAAGACATTTTGTCTCCACTTTCAGATGGATTTAAGCACACTTTGCTCAATCAGACCGAATGGTCCCAACTTATATTGAAGAGCACATTTCATTCTATAAGAAAATCTTCATAGTGGCCACCTACGTGACGGCATCAGAAGAATTTGCCCTGGAAACATGGTGCACTGGTCGAGCTCAATGGGGTCTTCGAAGGATCGTGTACCATAACGACCTTTACTGGAAAGCTAGTTTCGAGGGGATTTGCATAGTGGGAGCTAATGCCTCTAGAAAACTATCCAACATTGAATCGATTCACGAAATTGCGTAAGAGCTTCAGGCTGAAGCACTTACGGTAGACCTCCTTGAGCTGACGACGGTGACAGATGACGTCATATTCTGAAGACGGTGAGGGCAGTGAAGGAGGGCCTGCGTCACTTATAGAGGGACATTAGGGAATACTCTGCTGAGGAACTCCCGTCAACGACGGCAATCTCTGCGAAGAAAAAAGGGCCGAAGTCCGACATAGGCAAAATGTCTTTTTTTTGGGGCCCCCCTGTATAGGTGGTGCATTAGCATACTTAGAAACCACATGGCTCACAGAAAGGCCAAATATTCTTTAGTTTGGCAGAGGTTTTCCAGACCTTACGGATATGTCTGTTCAGTTCATTCCTCGTTTTCTTTTCATTAACGTAAACATGTTGATAAAAAGGAATAAATAGAAGCGAATACAAACCTATTCGTATGGGAAGATATGTGTTTTTACTGAAACAACCACGTCCAAATTAGTTTTGGGACTTATTTTTACTGAGACAACAACGTCCAAATTAATTTTGGAACCACTAAAGGGAAAGTAAGTAAAATTTCCTTTTCATGGCCTTAACACGTCATTTCGGTCGAACTTCCATTACTGTAACTCCCGATAAGTTAGACAGATCGAACATTATTGAAAACACTTCATCGCATCTAAGTATTGCGTATTTACAGCTCAAAATCCATGGATTTGGTGTGCGGCGGCGCGCTCGCAAAATCGCTCTGTCCCACGCGGTGCAAAAACACAAAACGCGCGATGTCGTCAACGTGTTCAAGGTATCCCACATGCATGCCTGGCGAGATGCGAGGCGGAGTTGTGAAGTAGGCAGAAGTATGAATCTTGTCTAAAGTCACTTGAGCAAGGTCTGCCCATAGCCAAGTGAGAAGAAGGTGCGAGATAACGACAGCGAGGAGATGTGAACGATCATAAATGACTAAACTCCTCCCTCTCCCGCACGAGCAGTCACACCTTGGGTGACTTAGCAGCGAGTCGCGCGGCAACATCACTCACTGATCCCACGTGTTGCCCACCGAGATACGGTTGGTCCAGAATGTTTCTTCTGACCAAGAAAGTCTTTAAGGTCATGGTACGCTTTTTTGAAACGGGTTCGTTGCTTTTTATGGTGGGGCACATGCGTGGAGCATGACACCAATGATCATTTTTTCTGAGCGGCTCTGGAATTGCCAAAAGAGAGCAAAAAACTTCCCTCGAAAAGTGGAACCTTCCCATTTTCAATGACTCTCCGCCTTCAGTGAGCTTCCAAATATAACTATTCAACTCTACAACATTCGTAGCGTTTAATAGTTATACTTCCGAAGCTTAATGCTCACTGAACACGCCCATACCCCAAGAAAGTGGAAGTCAGAGAAATGCAAAAATATGGGGACCTTCCACAAACTCTGGCTCCCACATATTTTTTTTAACATTCCCAGAGCTGCTCAGAAAAAAAAAACTTTTCGCAGTTTCATGCTTCCTGTGCGCATGTCCACAGCATGCAACAAATGTTCTGAGAAGGCGCTCCATGTCCACGAATTCCTTTCTGGTGAGTTCAATTTCAGAACGAAGTTTGAGTCACAAGCAAGGATCTGGTGTTGGCAAGAAAGCTCGATTGGCTGGTTCAGAAGAATCAGCCATTCTGCAGGCCTTTAAGCCCAGAACATGCAAAGTTGCTTAAGGATAAAGTCATTGTAAATAAACAACACATTCGGAGGGTCACGGTCTAAAAGAAAAGGAGAAACTCTGCGTGAAATTTTGCTGTATTGTGATAGATGATTTGAGAACACCATTCACCCGCAACACACTACACTGTCGCTACTGCAGCGCATTTTTTGGAAGAATCTTTTCGATCTCGAACCAAGCGTACGAAAGTATCCGCCATAAATATCACTTTTATCACGCCAATTGATAAAGATAAAGATAAATATCATGCTCCCACCCCCAATTGCGCGGTTCATCTGCGAATAATGACTATCACTTCATTATATAAACCAGAACTTTGGTGTGTCGGTTTGTCGGTGTGTGTGTCGTTCTGTCCGTCCGGACCAACCGCTCACAAAACCAGGGAGTACGAAGGGCAACACTTCGAGATGTTGATGTCATGATCATGATAACACCCATAGCGACTATATAAACACCGATCGAGGTAGAGGGAGGGGGGCAAGAAAGGGGAGGCTGGAAGAAAGGGAAGGGAGAGAGAGAAAGAGGGAGGGAAGGGGGAGAGGAGAAAGGGAGGGAGAACATGGCGCTGTCATGCGCCGAGAGGAGGGTATAAGGAGGGGGAGGTGGGGGAGGAGAGACTGAGAGAGAACGACCGTTTTCAAGAGTAAGGTCTATATTCATGTTGACGTATTATTCTAACCTGATGTGGTGATTGTGATAACACCCACAATGGCTACAAAAACACCGAACGAGCACACTCAGCCTCATTCTACATGGTGCTGCCGGGGCAGCCGGAGTCGGCGGGCGGTAGAGGGGAGGGGGAAAGCAGAAGGGGAGGGGGGAGAGGGAGGGAAGTGGGGGGAGAGGAGAAAGGGAGGGAGAACATGGTGCTGCCATGCGCCGGAGAGAAGGGATAGAAGGAGGAGTACGGCATGCTGTTATTCCGTGGTTCCTCCGTACCCTTTAATGCGTGCGATAGCGGGTGGAGAAAACCTGGTATGCACATATTCTCGGAAACGAGGACGCATAATTACCTCCATATTACGTCGCCAAAACTCGGTCACGACCTCTTCTTCCATACAGGTAACTGTCCCAAATTACCAAAAGAGCAATAATTCTCTCTACCCTCGGATTCTCTCCGAGGTGGTCCAGAATGAAAAGAAATACAGTAACACTGAATTATAATGGAGGTGGTCTCAAACATGAAGTCTTGGGCATCGACAAAAATGAGAGTAAGTTCGGAGAAAAACTCAGCAAAGAAGGTTTTTATCTCTACTTCCGCCTCGACGCCTCTCTTCTAAAGCAGTTGCCTCACTCATTTCGTGGTCTATTCGTCATGGGAGGTCATATTCGTGCACAGCGAGCACATCATTGACATCATGGTGCAGGCAGATAGTAGGAAGAGGGTCTAGCGCAGCAGAAAACGAGCATATCGAAAAAACATGATATAAAATTTCTTTGCAGGTTCAGTCGCTCCATTCCTCTACCTTCATGAAGGACGTATTTGAAAGCAGTACAAAGAATGAAAGTGCATCCCGCAAGGAAGGGGCCACATGTGCACACGCGCTGCAAAGGCACCTCCTCTATATCTACCGCCCGCTCCCTCCCCTTAATACCTCGTTGAGAATGACACTGTTGTTAGAGACGCTGTCGCAAGCGACATTAGTTAA